AATAATATGTAATAAAATATTTGATACACCAGGTGGATTTAAAATAAATTCATATATTTATGTTAAAAATATAATAAAATATGATTTAATTCTTTTATTACATCAACTATTTAATAATACGATAGCTTTTATTAAATGCATGTACCACACAAATTTAACACCCACAATACATATATGTAAATGTATAATGCTCTCACCACATACACACATCTTGAGACTAAAAACTGGTTCTTTAGGTCATAACCTTAGTACGAGAATCTGCCCTAGCCAGTTATTTTGTTGAACTTGAACTAGTGTTTCATGCACTTCAAATTTTGCACTGTTTGCTACTAAGAATGATAGTTTAAACAGTGTGCATCAGCTGAATTTTCCTGGGCATGCAAGTTTGAAGAATTCATCACTTAGATGTATTCAAACCTTCTCCACCACTTCATGCTTTCTTAATTAGCTAACAAAGTGGAGTTTCAATCATCTTCATCAAAGAATTAGGCTATGTTGCACTATATATATTGGTAGAGATGGAATTATTGTCAATTCTTTAAAACTAGTATTTGATGACATATTTACGAATCTTATCTTATTTAGAGTTAAAATTAAAATTAATTGTAGTTTATATATATATATATATATATATATATATATATATATATATATATATATATATATATCAAAACATATTTTAAAGATAAAATTGTAAAAAATAGAATTTCAAAATAAATAATATATTTAATACAAAAGTTGAACTTATTAATAATTTTGAATTAGTTGATTTAAATAACCTCGAACTTCGAGTAAATGAGTATCTCGAATTTACACTGAGACATTGACGACGATTCTCAAATATCGAAGAATAGAATGTGACAGAATGAAATAAAATACAATAGAAACAAAGACAACACGAGTTATCTACTATTTTTAATGGTCAAAGGAGACCATTTCTTTCATTTTAAATTATAAATTTAAATTAAATATTTCTAAATAGGATTGGAACCTACTGAATTGAACGCTTTACCACTGAGTATTAAGATTGATAATTTTTTGAATAGTTGATAAAAAAAAATAATGATAAATAGGATTGTGAGGGTAAAATGGAGATTGAAAGAGAGGGGTGGACCATGTTGGAGGCATAGGTAGAGTGTACCATCTCCCCATCTATAATGCGAAACAAACAACTCTCCAATTCACTATTAATTTGGACCAAACAAAAGACAAAATCACTATTAATTGCAAATAATGGCTTTCTCTTATCAAATAGTACACCCACTATAAAAACCTTACACATACACTCCTCATTAACTACTTATCATTTAATTTGCTTAATTTTAAGGAGTTGAGTGTTGGATTTGAATACCTTCCACCCTCGCTTCTTTACAATCTTGTAGGGATTTCAATGTTTGAATTGAAAAGTCTTGTTTATATTTTTATTCTACTTGTTTCCCTAGGAAAATCCACGAGCTTCACTTATTCAAAAATAAAAATTTAAAACTCCTCACAATTTCTAAATTACTATTTTATTTATATCATGCATCTTAAAATAGATAAATAAATTTTCTGGGGTCTTAAATTTGTATACGTGTTAATATTATATTATAACATTAGTATATAATTTTAAATAGTTGTTTAACATTTTATTTAACGCATAAACATATAATATAATTAGTGTTATATAAAGAAAACGACCCTTGCTCAGAGACATTAAAAACATATCGAAGTCTTATAATTACAAACAATATAAATATACTCCTAATAAATATTTCTATAAATTTATTTAAATTATTTAGTCTATTATTTTATTTATTTATTCAATTTTTATTGATTTCACCTATATATTTATTGACCCTTTTATCTTATATTCTAATAATTAAATTAGAGTATGTTTCATATTATATTAGTATTAATCATAATTTTCCTCCTCCTATTTTGGTTTAATAGAATATATTTTATATTGATTGTTTTGACAGTTGATGTTATATGTGACTTTTTTATACCGGTTGTATAATTAATATAGAAAATATAACACTTTCCATTGATATTTACATCAATTCATAAAAGTCCAAGATAACCAATATTAAATAATGTATTATTGAAAATAGTTTTGCACTAATTTAAGAAATTATTATATATACAGTACCATAATAATTATTTATTAATTAAGCCAATTTTACATGTCTTAGTAAAAATAATATTCAGAATATACTTATTTATTTACTTAATATTAAGTAAAATCTTTTTATGTGAGGGATGCAACATAAGGTAAGTCAAAATTCATGCAACTTTTGGTAATAATAATTAAATATAATATAACTTTTTTTTTTGGTATGTTTCATTATAAATGTTGTTATGAGTGTGACTTGCATGTCCAAAATTTGTAGAAAGGTGGACTTCCCTCACCACAAAGTCATTAAATTGAAAACACATTGTTTTTTTATCTCATAAATAGTTTTGTGGTTGAAATTCAATTCAAGAAGTTTCCGGAAATAAGAAAAGAGGTTCCCATAAATAAGAATAAGCATTTTGGATGTTTGGAAAAGTGATAAAAATTAAGATATTTGTCGGAGTTTTTTTTTTTTTTTTCTCTCTCAAACTCGCTTTATAATATTGTAATTATAGTAGGATAGCGTGTCAAAGAATGAGTGTAATTATAATTAGAAGAAATTAAATATGTTTTCCTATGTTTTAAATAAATATTTCTTTAATAAAATAATAATCACTTTTCTGAATTTTAAAAGATATTCACCTTTTTTTTATATTTTTAATAAAATAACTCTCATCTTCTATTTTTTTAATAAAACAATACTTGTCTCTCTTATTTAATTTTACAATAATATATTGATTAAACTTTAAATACAAACTGTAAAATTTAAACGTTGAAGTGAAATAAATATTTTTTATAAAAATTCAACAATTTAATTATTTTATATTGATAATATCTAAAAAATAGATTGTCAGTAAATTATAAATATTCTTAAGATATAAAAATAATATTTTCGAAAAAACATTGTTTCAACATAAAATATATAAATAAATATGTATTAAATTTCTTAATCAATTACAATAATTAAATATTTTTTAATAAAAATATAAATATGTAAAAAAAAACACATATAAATATAAATATAAGTATCCGCGTTATTTTATGAATAACATAAGAATGTGAATGTTTATTTTAAAACTATTTTAAAAAAAATATGAGCATCACTTAAAAAAAATCCTATGATTGGTAGATCCAATTTTTCCATAAGTAAATCATTCAAATTTTATTTACAAAAAATTTAATTTTTATATTTCACAACTTTAATTTGTATTTTCATAGACAATATGCTACTTTTAAATAATAAAGAAAGCGAGTGACACATTATTCAACCATAAGGGGTAAGGATGTGAAAACATGTTGAAGAAAATTCCTAAAAGAAGTTAAAAAAGCATAATAAACTAATCAAGGACTTTGTATCAAAGGTTGGCCAAAAATCGAGTTCAATGCATGAGAGGAAGTTGCACTCCCTTGGTAGTTTTAATTAATTTATGACATTTACCACTTTGCTAAAAAATGTTAGAAGTTTTTAGAAAATTTAAGAAGATTTTTTTTTAAGAAAAGATTTAAAATATTTTATAAAATTATTTAAATAGGACATATTTTAACACAAAGTTTCTCATGTGTTACGCAAGAGCTGATATATTTATACCTAAAAGCACGAATAATATTTGACAGAAGCTTAATTTTTGTACTTGAATCCATCCTCTCTCTCCCCTCTCAGAGAAAGATTGACAAGAGATTTTAGAGAATGTAGTAGGCAGAGGAATGGAAGTGGTGGTGAGGAAGAATTTTGTGATGGGAAAAGGAAATGCATGCACGAAGGAATTATGAGGAAAGCAAAGTGCATGAGACCCCCACACTAGGTTTTCCCAAAACATAGATTATATGGCACATGTTGTGAGAATATGAATGAATGAGAATGGTGTGGTTTGGTTTGGTGCATCCAGCTATGGTTTGATGTGTGGACAATTGTGGTGGCAATGTGCTCCTTTCAACCCAGTCACCGACCAGAGAGAGGCAAACATGCATGAATCAAATGGAATGGGAGTGGGAGTGGGAGGAAGAAACCAAGTTTCGGCACAAAAGCATGGCCATCACTCCTCTTGGGTCCCACTTCCATGAAAATACAAAAACCCTAAAGAAAATCTCCATACTTCATCGCTCATTCCTAGCAACACGTGTGTGGTGGACCATTTCATACAAATTATAATAAATATCCTTTTTATCATTACTTCCTTTTCACTTACTAACAAAACATCCAACTTTCCTACCCAATTACACTGCACAACTTTCCTTCTATTTTTAGCTTTTTCTCATTTTATTTTACCCCTAATTTTCATTGTCGGTGATGTTAATTAAACATATGATTAATTTATAATATTAATATAAAAATTTCACTGTTCAATTTCATTTTATAGAAATAAATTAAGTATAAGATTATTGTATTATCTATTAATGATTTCCAATTTTTCAATGTTTTCAAATGAAATATAATGTTGTATTATTTAAACTCATCTTTGCATTTTTATTTATTTATTTATAAAACTTGAAACCAATATTTCATTCAAAATTTCAAACTTCCACTTGTGTCATCAAGACCTAGATAACTTTGGAAAACTTGTATGGCTTAAAAACTTATGCTTAAATCTCAAAACTCAAAATTATTAAAGTGTGATAATATGTTTCAATAAATAAATGGATAGTAAGATGATTTTATTTATTATTTTTTAAATTATTCATTATTATAATAGAAAAAAAAAACATAACAAATTATATATACAAACATCGCTTCAAAATATCTATTACTTAAGCAATACAATTACTAGTCTATCATGACAATTGATTAAATTGCATCTTCACCTACAAGTCAGAAATCAACGTTACATTCTTCTCCTTTCTTTCTTTTTTTACCAAAAATTAGAAAAAAAAAGAGATTAAGAATTTCAGTGTAGTTTTCATTCAAATCATGGCGAAAAGGGTTGTTCTAGAAGTTGGCGAACCAATATCTACACTTATTTGGCTTCAAAAACAATAAATAACTTCGTACAAACAAAGATTTAGTGTCAGTTTTATTTCTATCATTGTACCATTTTAATAATAATAATAATAATAATAATAATAATAATAATAAAATATTATTATGATGAAATACTCCATCCAATTTTATAAAATTAATTCAATAAAATAATGACTATATATTCTGTATATAATCTTTATCCTATTTAGTCAATAAGATTTCTTAATAGTTATTATTATTATTATTTTACGTTAATAAGTTTTATATTATTTAATTAAGATTAATAATAATTGATATATGTTTTAGTAATTTATATAAGATATACTTTCATAATCTGCGAAAACCTTTTTTAAAATTAAAACGGTGATAAAACAGAATTCTAAAGTAACCACACCTTTTTTATTGATAAAAATAGTCCTAATAATTAAAGAATTAGAAGATTCAATTGTCGTTGATAACTAAAATTACATATTCATTACGCATGGATGCATCGTGTAACAATGACTCTTCAATAAGCTGCTATTGCATGATATAGGACATAATTATTTGCGTCGCTGACTTATACAAAAGCCCTGGGTACGTAAGGCTATGTTTGTTTTCTAACACTAATCATTTTTTATGGATATCCCACGAAGAATCCAACTTCTACATCTACATTTATAACTTCCCCATTTCGGTATTCACCACTCCCCTCATTCATGAATCCAACAAAAAGGTTTTGACAACAACCCAAAAACAGATTAATTGTATACTGTTAATTAAACTAGTTTAATAAATATTAACACTTACTTTGACCAGTTAAAACAAAAATGCCATTGTTAAATAATCATGTCACTCTTTTTAATATAAACCATATATTGTTAATGAGATTCTTCACGTTTTTAAAAAGCAAATTCATGTTCTTATCATCTATGTCCTTGTCAACAAAACCTGTAAAATAGAGGACATAGACATGGAAGTCCAAACTCTCACTTTCAGCAAACTAATAATTGCGGGGTCACATTTTCATCCATTTATTTACTAACCATTCAATCCATTCTTAGACAAATTTAACCAGTCCGTACAATTTTATATACTATATAATAGCTATTGGACGAATGGTGAATAATTTAATGTATTTTTTAATACATTGGTTAAGTAATTCAAAGTTCATTGGTCCAGCAGAGGACTTTAAGGGACGAAGGCTTAGACTTTTTAGATATACAAGGATGTGTACATTAAAACTTCTTTTTTGTATATATTTTTTAAAAAATAAATTAATATAATAAACTTCTTTTATCAATATAAAGATTTACATTGTGAATGAACCAAAATTTATCCTTGTTGATGTGATTTGTGATGTAATTATTATAAATCTTAATCAACCTATCGCTTGATCGTGTGTACACACACAATTTACTAGATGATCAACAAAGGTTGGATATACATTGTTCACGGATTTTGAAATGGTTTATATTTCTGTTGAAGATTTACGCAATGCGTTCATGTGACACTTGTTCGAGAAAATGATAAAAAAGGTAATGGAAACAATATTTTTGCATAAACCAGAAAAAGTTAAGGCAAACGTTTATCACGTTATGTAGCCAAATTTCAGCAAATTAAATTGAATTCTGGTATCAAACAAGACCAGATTAAAGCGTACGTGGAAAAGGTTTGTCCAATTAGGTACACGAAACCGCCATCGTGGGTAGAACTGCCAAAAGCAGAACAGACTCGCAAGTAGAGCTTTCTATAAAGACAGGATCTGTGATTTAGGATTTGTTTAGGAAGCAAAAGTTGGTCTGAATCAATAGAGAAAAAGTAATTTCTAGGGTTCATGATTTTGATTTTCAACACTGCATCGTCTCTATTCACATCTACCAAAATTCAAACATGATTGATGTTCACAAATAAATCTTCTAGTGGCCAGTGTTAGCAAAGTCTGAGATATTTCTCTTCATATATAATTGATATCCAAAAGCTAGAGTCCTAGCAAAGTCTGTGGCAGCCATTGGTTTCATCTTCTTCTAAGGACAGAGACAGTAAACTTAGGACCCACAACCTTGGGAATGCGTAAAAACGTTGCCCCCCTTGGCCTATTGTCCGATCGTACACAAACAATAGCACATAGGACAGTGTAAGTTGAAGTTGGGGAGACAAAAATTGGGGTTGCATGGAGAGGGAAAGTTTGAAAATTTGGCAACTTGGAAGAGCATGAGTATGAAATTTAGTTGGGGGGAATGAACTAATTAAGCAAAGGTAACACCAGCTCAGCTAACTCGTGAAATAGAATGAGCCAATCACATGGGGTTCACTAAAGTGGTGTTGATTAGTCGCAATGGTTTAGAAAGTAAGAAAGAGAGAGGGCTTTTTGAATAGGACCTACCAGTTACTGTGCATGGAACAGAAGAGAACAAATTAAGATAGAGAAATGGAAGAAACGGCGAGAGAAAAACAAAGAAGAAATGAATTAATAAACGAGTCCCCAACCCCACCATAAGAAAAGAAAAGAAAAAGGAGAGTTGATTTTGATTAGGTGAGAGGGTTTGTCTGACAGCGCATAACACCTAGTGGTAGGCAACTTTGTTCTCTTTTCTAACTTGTGAGTGCTATCCAAATCAAACACAGAATAACCAAAAGTTACGGCAAAAAAAGAAAACAGAATCTTGACGAGGCCCTCCTTTTCCTTCACCCTTTTCTCTTTCTTCCACCCCCCTGCAACAAAACAGTTCACAGCTTTCTCATACCTCCATTAACATAGATTCATATAAATGTTTCCGAGTGGTCTGTTTGGTTGCATCCAAGTAAAACTATGTTTAATCCTGATAGTTCGCATGATTAGAAGTGGAATTTGTAGTTTTGGGATTAATTGGGTCTTCATTTCAATTTTTATTTTAATCATTTTTGTTTAATCACTGTCGTAATAAGACAAAAAAATTCATGGCAGCACACATGCGAAAGGGAGAAAAACATGGTGAGAGAAAAACCAACGGTTAAAAATATTAATCTTTCTTTTTCAAATATAAACTTGTCTCCGTAATGAGTGGACAAATGATACATCCCTCACAACTAAAACCAAAATAAATCACCAGATAAGATTATTAACGACAATGAAATGGTCAATAACTCATAATAAATTATAGCAGCCACAGCAACAAGATCAAAACAATAAATATTAAGATTCAAGGGTTATGATTGAATTAAAAGCAATAAAGTTTAATGTTTTTAAAGAATTGCATGGTGGATCTCAACCAATCATTTTTCATTCCTTACTGCAAACCAAAACAATGAACATACATAACATAAATAAAAGAAATGAATCCGATACCTACAGCCACTATGATCCATTTATGAAATGAAAATTTTTTAGTTAACGAGTCTGTACACGATGAGACAGAGTACCAAGACACCCATTTTTTCCCCTTAAATCGTAATCCTTTCCTTAAACTGTAAATGATCATTCCCTTGTATTCTCCCCATAAGTATCCAAACAGATAGAAACATACTTCATTCCTTTGCATTCCTTTGTGAGCTTTTCAATACCCAAAACTACCACCTTTACAAGATATTAGCCCTTTCCACAATCAATTTCATCAGAAGAAAGCCATGTACGTATCACACAACACAAACTCTAAACTTCACACGTTTCTTAGATGATTATTATAATTCGATGACTTATTTGACAAATGTTAGATACTAGTGATCTAGATCTAGAGATAAATTTGGATGACTCAATTGACGTATGAGAAAAAGTACTTTGTCGTGTATGGTTAGTTTGTGAACGTGTTCAATATAAATCACTTTAACATTCACACCAATAATGATTTGTGATGGAATGGCACTGTAACATAGCCTTAAACTGGTATTGGACAATATTAAGTTGTTAACAATAGCATATATACTGTTTTAACTAGGGTCTTGACTTGAGATTATTTAATGAGAGCTTCTAGTGGGAAGAGTTAGGTACTTGAACGCACTCTAATACTTCACTTAGCACGCAACCACGTATAGGAAGAAGATAACATTCTTCAACTACTCCTTTATTTCCATTATCTGCTTTATCCTCTAAACAAAATTACCACATGCAATACATTCTGTTAGATTATATTGCTTATTTAGGAAGATGAGCTTGGTGCAACGATATAAGATTGAAGTCTTGTGATTTCGTGAGCACCAGTTCTTTTCTTCTCAATGAGGTAAGGTTGCACAGTTGATCTTCCACATTTAAACTGTCCTTTTTATATATTGTTGATGCAGGATATATTCACATTAAGAAAACAAAACCACATATATCCTTCAGTCCTCATTTCAGGTCTCATATGATGCAAGACAGAATGCTTTGTTTCATAAAAATCACACAGGCCACAATCATACGCTACACACTTCAATTGAAGTACTTCAATACAATGTAATATAATGGATCAAATAAATAAGGTATGATCTTTATAATGAGTGTCTATGTGAGCTTGAGCCTGAGCTTATGCAGTTTCTAATGTAAATCAGCATCTTCATTGTGCTTCAGCACTCGGGGTGAAAAGAATCAGAAGTGGCAGATATTGCAGCTTATAAAACTTACCTAAAGTTAAGCAGAAAACAAAATTAGCCTGAGACATGAAAATGAAGCAATATATCCATCCCAATATGGATAAGCTTAAAACAGACGATAAGTTAGACTAAGTTTCTGGATGTGTTTGTAACAGAAATTGATCCTGAGATGTAAGTTATCTGCAATATAGAGAAATTACAAAGATTACTCTGGAGCAGGCTAATTAACAAACATCAAATAATTTTAGGATTAAACATTGTATGATTCTAAGTGAATACCAAATTGGATTATTTAACCATAATCTTCCGAAACCTCACGGCATTGCTTTAATTTATTTACAATTGACATTGAAGAAAGATATAAAGGGAATGTAATGTGATGAAGAGGATTTGGTATTGGCAATAACCACTGACACTTCCCTTTTCAGACGGAAATGGCATTTAGACTAATCTATGTCGTCTCTTTCCTAGTAGGTTTGGAGTTTATCGTTATCATCTAAAAAACAACTTCTTGTCTTTTTCGTTTTAGCAAAAGGACCATTCTTGATTATCATCTTGAATAATATTTTTCTCTCCATAGTTCTCAATTCTCATATATAAGTGTTGAGAAAAATATTTTAAAGGATAAAGTAAATACTAAAATTTTATGACAAATTTCATTTTATGTTAATTTTATAAAATTTGCAGAAAATGTGAACAAATCTAGCAGTAATAATATTTTAAGACTAGTATTGTAGTTAGTGCATTATATAGGATAAACATTTATTTTTGTATAATTAAAATTTATAATAAATAAATAATTTTAAATATGTAAATCACAAAAAAGAGATGAGTGAAACATTATCTTTAATGCTTACTAAAGGTCATGTAATTAAAAATCTATTATGGAAAGCAAGTAATAAAAGCTATAAAGAAAGAATGGAATTGGATTTGTAACCGGCGACGAAGGGACAATTAAGTGCCACCTCAGCGGAGTTACCGATACCAACCGTGGAACATTTTGTTGTAGCTGAATCTCTGGGGTTCTTCGCTCTTCTTATCTCACGTTGTCTCTATCCTATCTATCACACACTCGATGGCTTTCATCAATTTTCATTGCTCTTCCATGTCCCTCCACGCATGTTCCAAGTGAGCTTTCACCCTTTAATTAATCACCATGCCTTTTATATATCTTTCTGTCTTTATATATTCTCTTTTTCTTTCCATTACCGGCCAATGCAAACCTTTTTGCATGCCACATGTAAGAACGTACCCTGTATGGTTCTATCACGCGTATTCATGGGACACATTGGGATTCATATAAATGTTAATAAAATGAATTACAAATCCTGCACTAATCTTTGTTATTGAATCTGTACACTATAATTGGAGAGCATGAGTGAGATAAATGTAATGTAAATAAATGGCGATTCCTTGCATTTTATTGAATCTTTTCTTTTTTTTAAGTGCTATTACCATATTCAACAAAATATAATTACATGTACTTTTAGTAGTGTTATAAATGTTGGCTTGTCATTATTTGAATACGTTGAGTCCATGGATCAGGTTTAAGGTGAACCTTTCCTGAGGTAGGTAGGTAAGGTGGTGATCTTCCCAATACCATAGAGTGCAAGAATTCATCCCAATGCACAAATTCCCAAGTTAGAGGTTGGCACCACTAGAAGGTTTCTATGTGAGGTTAAGGAAACCTTGTATAAAGGCTTGGCTAAACAAACAAATATATATGGTGGGTAAGAAACTTTGCAAGTGATATAATGGTTAGAAATGGGAAATTTGATAATGTTATTACTTTATTACTTGGTACTAGGATATTAATTTGATGTTATCTAAGAATAAATTGTATAACTTTAACTTGACTGTGTTATCTTGGGAGAGACAACTGATTCCCAAACTCTTCAGATGATGTTTGGTCAATTTACTTTACAATTCTAGCTCTGCCAAGTGTCCTATATGCATGCACTGAGCTTTACATATTGCTAATTTATTCATTCAAATGTCCTTTGAGAATTGTTGTTACTTTGTTCTTCTACTTCCACTTGTGTAATTGGATGGTTGCTTCTTCTGTTTAGAAGGCAGGGTGTTAATGTAAGTGGTGTGCCTTCACTCAATGCAAATGGATATAAATCTGATTTCGTGTCGACTAGTCCCATTAGAAAAGTGAAATTCAGTTTGAAGGTTGATAAAGTGAGGGCTGTAATATGTGGAGAAGGAGATCTGCTATCTCATCCTAACAACCACCCTAGTCCAAGACAAGATGACTTAATTGACACACTGGTAGAAGAACCTATTAGAATTAGCCCTCAACTTGATACATTTGCTTTTGGAACAGTCTCTAATGAGATAAATCCTACAATCAATGGTTTCTTTGCTGATAGAAATGAACATGAAATGGATTGTCCTACACAAGGGTTTTCTTCTATCCCAGAGGCCATTGAAGATATTCGTCAAGGAAAGGTTGATCAATCTGTTGATTTTTTTGTCAATTCTCTAACCAAGGGCACCATGTTAAAAAGTTCACTTATTTGGGACAAATTTGCAGTTAGTTATTGTTGTAGATGATGAAGACAGAGAAAACGAGGGTGATCTAATAATGGCAGCATCAATGGTAACACCAAAAGCAATTGCATTTATAGTAAAGTATGGAACTGGGATAGTGTGTGTGAGCATGAAAGAAGACGACTTAGAGAGGTTGCAACTCCCATTGATGGTGACACAGAAGAATAATGAAGAAAAACTTTGCACCGCATTCACAGTGACAGTGGTACGTAGGCTTTACATTCTTCATTGATAATCTTCTTGGAAGAAAATATAGGATAATGATCTTTAAGCACTTTTTTCTCTGTAAAGAGCAGGATATGTGTTTTCAAATATAATATTGATTTGATTTCTTATCTGATACCAAAACATCTGCATCATGTTATAGGATGCAAAGCAAGGCACTACAACAGGAGTGTCTGCTCAAGATAGAGCAACAACAATCCTGAAACTTGCATCAAGAAATTCGAGCCCTGATGAGTTCAGTCGGCCAGGTCATGTATTTCCCCTGAAGTACAGAGAAGGAGGGGTTCTTAAGAGACCTGGACACACAGAAGCTTCAGTTGATCTTGCTGTGTTGGCTGGCTTGGGACCTGCTGCAGTTTTATGTGAGATAGTAGATGATGATGGTTCAATGGCCAGGTTACCAAAGCTTCGACAAATGGCAAAGCAAGAAAACTTGAAAATCGTTTCCATTGCTGATTTAATAAGGTAATTTCTAAGAAATCACAAGTTACAGAATTCTCTCAATAACCCTGCATACCACAACTGAATTCACTGGATCATGTATCACATACTCATTTATCTTTAAAGGAAGTCTAATAATAATGATTTGGAAGAATCATGTAGCTACACAAACAACACATGTATTGTTGGGAAATCCAAGTGTGAGTTTGAGTATGCTATTGAATAAGATTGAGAAAATTGAAAATAAGACCCATAATTCAACGACTTAATGTTTTGAGTTAAAGATGGTGTTAATCACTTATATGAGTTTGACTCATATCTCATATTATTTCTTGCAAGTGAATTCTCCTTGAAAGACTCAACATGTATCTGTACCTGTACCACATACCTGGTAACTATGATCACCAGATTTTCATAAATAACCGCTCTTAGTGACTACTGATTAATTGATAGGTCTGCACACATTTCTTAGTTGTGATTGACACAGACTTGGTCCAATGTTTAGAGTCACTGATCAAACTACAGTTTGAATGCGCATATTTTAGAATTTTGAAACCATGCCATCTCAAATAATCATAAGGAAGATAGACGTAAGAACTTTGATGGCCATTTTCTAATATCTACATGGTTTGAAATAGCAGATTCAGAATGAAGAGGGAGAAGTTGGTAGAGTATGCTTCAGCTGCACTGCTACCCACCTTGTGGGGACCTTTCAAAGCTTATTGCTATCGGTCATGTCTGGATGGGATTGAGCATATTGCGATGGTTAAAGTAAGCAACTCACCAATATTTGTTGCTTAACAGCATCTTGAATTGCAACTACCAAATTAAAATTCCCTTTAAATCAATCAAATTCGTTTATCATGTTTACATTGTGTTCTCATTAGATACACTTACCTTTCTGTGGTAAGGGTGAAATTTGAGAGATTTGAAAAGTGTTATTGTTGTTGGTGACTATAATAGCATGGTTTTGATATAAACAGGGTGAGCTAGGTGATGGGAAGGACGTACTTGTGAGAGTACATTCAGAATGTCTCATCGGTGACATTTTTGGGGCCACAACGTGTCAATGTGGAAACCAGTTAGTGTTTGCATTGAAGCAGATTGAAGCAGCAGGTAGGGGTGTCTTAGTGTATCTCCGAGGACAAGATAGAGGTATTGGCTTAGACCACATTGCCCATGATTCTACTGAGTACGGTATTGGAGCACAGGTACTGTTTGGTTTGCTATTTACCACGTTTTATTTTACATGTGTCTAGAGATTGATCAACTTCTTAGGACATACAAGTTATTCCAAATCTTAAATCAGAGTTTAAAATAATACAAGAGCGATGATCTATTCCAAAGTTGAAAGATTCAAGAAACCAAATAAATCAGTCAAGTAAAATTTGAGATCAGCAAAGTATTAATACATGTTAGATTTCATCTGAAACCAGTTGATATTGATAGGAGTTGACTAAACGATTAAAATAGATTGTAGGCTCTGCTACTACATTAGATTCTATCTTAAAACTAATTGAACATAAGTTGCGTCAGAGTATATAAATCGCACCTAAACAATTGAGGTATACAATATAAGATTTTTCAACAGAACAAAGACTGTAGTAGAATGGTAAATGGAAGTAAATTTTTACAGTAACATATATAACACGACCATTGGAATGCAAATGAAAGCAAAACAAGAAAGCAATAAATTGGAGTGAAATTGTAAGTTGAATAAAAATGTATTGAAAACAGTAAATTATGCTTGCGAGAAAAGGCTAAAGAATGACAAACGAGTAGCTTAAAGAATGCAAGTAGAAGTACGTAAATTTCATGATTATCAGGTAAAAAATATGAAGACAATTTGAAATGAGATCTAAAGAAAATGAAGCTTTATTAAAGCGATCACGATGGAAGACACACTTGACTAATCTCTGAAGCTTTTAGATTTATAGATATTCGGATACAGATCATGATATCTGTATGCAGTTTCAGCTAAACTGTTAGTAACTCCATTCTCAATTTCCCCACCTACTTGAAAATCTTCTTAATCTTTTGAGAATTTTACCCAAGACCAAAAATTCTTGGATTTAATTATTTCTTTTCTCAACATCTTTAATACTTAGTTATCTTGAGTCTTTTCCTAATAAATCAAGAAATATTTGTCTGTCTTGTGTTATTACCTGAAAACAGATTTCTAACCATTTCATCCATGACATTCGAAAATCATAACAAATATTATTCAGTGTTTCTATATTTCAACTGAGAAAACATCAATTAATATCGATTTGGTCCATTAACAAGTAAATTATCCATCAATTATAAAATGAAGAGGATTTTATTAATCCAATCCATCAATTATAAAAAAGTTAGTCCAACTAATTACTGATATAACTGAATTAAAATTTATTTACTCTATCCATTCTTGTCACCTTGGTATTTAACTATCATGTACTGTGTAACAATTTATTTCCCTTATGTCCATTGGAAAATATTTCATGGTAAATTATTATTTCACTTGGCTGCATAAGCATTATTTTTCAACTAATTGAATGATACATCTATGGCAGATACTCCGAGATCTAGGGGTTCATACAATAAGCTTAATGACAAAAAAATGGTGCTGAGTACGATGGACACAGATTATGGCTTTGACAATTGCAGGAAAAGTTCCTCTTTTGACACCATTGACCAGATATGCGTAGAGAGATTGAGAATTAAACTTTAAAATTGACATTGGTATTGGATTTCATCAATCATATGAATACAGCATGATATCTCGTATAAGTAGTCGATTTTGTTGGGTAAAATTTACTTTTAATATATCATTTCTTGATCTATCAACACTTACATAAAGTGTTGCTGTTATATGATTACTCTTATGAACAAGAAGATTTGTTTTTCCAATATTTCACTCTTTGAATATTTGAACACTTTTTTCCCATGCAATACTTATAAATAAGAAATCATCCACGATCTGTGTGGGCTAGACTCGTTTATCTCACAAGTTAGGTGGACCGATGGTTGCCCATGGGTTTAAATCTAAGTATTTACTTCTATAACATCTTCAAGAGATTGGTTATCAAGAGTTTTTTAAAAATAAAAATGAATATTTTATTATAAATTTTATATATGAATTATTTAAAAATAAAAAAATTATTTAAAAATAAAAAAATTATTTAAAATAAAAAAAATTGTTTAAATAAGTAATTCTAATTATATTTTAAAAAATTCAACTATAAAATTCATAATAAAATATTTAATTGTATTTTTAAGGGGTTAAAATCTATCATTGTCACAATCACTTTTTATCTGCGCTCATGGTTCCATTCGCATAATAAGGATTTTGGTAAAAGGAAACAATCCACCTCAGAGTAATATAAATAAACAATTTCAGTTTTTAACTAGAAATAAAACAAAGAATATGAATGATAAGAAAGAAACAATGAGATATTGATGAAAGAAGGTTGAATATATGTATCAATTTTTCATTAGAAAAGAGTAATTTTTTTACATATGTAACTTGAGAATGAAGAATATTGACATTATTTTAAAATAAAGCAAGAATAAAAATGGTTCTATTTGGAGTGGAAAAAAGAAAGTTTCCTTTATGAAAAGGATTGTGTAGTAGGTTATTATTAAAGCCCCACCAGCATTAAAGTTAACGCGTAAACATAAAAAAGGTGCATGGAAGAAGAAAGCACCAAGTAAATTCCGGAGTCCAAGTCTCCAATACAAAACGAAATGGTCCCATCAAAACCATGCTCCAATTTCTCATTGCACCATTTAATCATGCCACACACTTTGGCAGAACAAATGCCACAATTTCCACATCCATAGACCACTACTTCACCCTCTCAACACCTACCTTTTCCGTTCCACCAATGCCTCCTAAACCTGAAAACCCAGATCCTCAGCATGGAACCTCAACATCTAACCCTCTCAGATCACCAAATTCATTAACTTCCATTTGTCCGCCTCCTGTGAAGTCACTCGAACATCTTCCCCAACAAGAACATCATCATAGACATGTAGTTCAACTAGGGGTGACTGTGACGGCATGCATGCTTGGCGTGTTCATGTTTCTCTGCGCCGTGTCCGTACTCATAAGGTACTTTTACTCCAGGAGATACAACCGCAACCCTAACGGAAGAAGAGACACGCCGATATTGTTCGCTTTGAACGGAGGAGATTCTCCCACTTCGGATAACGATGATGACGTGGACCAAGACCACTTGGCGGTTGTCCACCCCATATGGTACATCCGCACCGTCGGTCTCCAACAATCGCTCATAGACTCCATCACCGTCTTCAAATACAGAAAAAACGAAGGAATCATAGACAGCTCCGAATGTTCTGTGTGCCTCGGAGAGTTCGAACACGACGACACTCTCAGGTTGTTGCCCAAGTGCAGCCACGCTTTCCACGTGCCTTGCATTGACACCTGGCTCCGCTCGCACAAAAACTGTCCCCTGTGTCGCGCGCCTGTGGTCGCCGATGAAACTGGAGCCGCTGACCAGAATCATCACACGGTTTCAACCGTGTCTGATCATCAGAGTCAGAATCATGAGGCTCGGGCGGAGGATTCTGATGAAGCGGTTGGATTAGAAGACGGTGGTGGTTCTGGTGAGTCTTCTGGTGGAATAGAAACACAGCCTCTGAGGAGATCGGTTTCCGTGGATTCTTCTTCTGCTTCTGCTTCTGCTTCAAATTCAACGGTGTTTCGTGATGTGAGGGTGGATATAGACACCCCTTATGACGAAAAATTGGGTTCAAGTAACAAGGGTGTGATTCACATGAGTATTGAGAAACATGGAAGTGGGAGTTCAAGTTCAACTACAATTCACAAGTTGGCTTCTATTGGACGTGCCTTACAAAAGGGATCAGTCTCAATGAGAAGATCGTTTTCACATAACACGAAATTTTCGTTATCCGCGCACTGTAGGAGTCAGAGCTCTACTCTTCCATTGTAATAGGTTGAACACTGCGTCCATTTCCATTGTAATGAATGTTGATGGAGGAAGATGAAGGTTTATCCTAAGAGTGATTCCTCCACACATGTCTCTATCTGTGTTCCCTAACAGACAAAACTATGCTTCAGATTTACCCTTATCATATATGTATATGGCTATAGAAATATAGTGATACCATAAAGTTTGAGAAATTTGACCACTGTTTTGTCTGATTCTACGTATGCTCTCTTTTTTATTCTATAAATTTTCACATCAAAACCTTCCCCGCAAGATTGCCTCTGTTTGATGAACTGGTATGAAACACGACTTCCAATAGATTCTGCATATCCAATAGTTGACATGAAAATTATCACCCAAAAAATTGGTATCAAAGGTGTTTTATGCACGATCTAATACATAAAACATATGCATCGATCAGGCACTATTTTGCATGATAGATTTATTAACGATTTTGGACATTATACCAACAATCATGAATGTTATAGAAACTTTTATTAAACTCAAAATTAATTTGCTTCCTTTATATTTTGTGTACTCTTTTTGTTGAAGTGTTTGATAATTTAATCGTAATGTATATGTATAATCTTCTCAAACTTAGAGAAACTTAGTTAGATTGACAATACACATTTGCTATTTGAACAGGACTCAAAATTTTTTTTTATAGATATTGTTACTACGGAAAGGAGCTAACAAATGGTTCTATGGTGTAGTGGTTAGCACTCTGGACTTTGAATCCAGCGACCTGGGTTCGACTCCCGGTAGGACCTATTTTTTTTTTGGGACATCAATGAATTAAAGAGTGAGGGTTACTCTCAATTGACCTAGGGTTCATAACCATGGGACACGCAATGAGTTTCTTATGGTCTTGGTTGGATGCATGTGGAATCTCTCAATTTTCAATCCATAAATTAAAGTGTAACTTTAACTTTTTTTTTCGTATGAAACTACCATGTACTCATCAGTGAAAAGTAAGAATTTCATTTTGTTGAGACAGATCATCCATCATTAAATATATCAATGATTTAGGATATACTGGTTTAGCTACATACCAGATTTTAACCCAATGTTTTCATAGGATACAACAACACTTCCAAATTTTACAATGGTCGTATAATTACGAAATGGTGGATGTGTCTGTCAAAACCAAAATTTTCCCCATGAGATGGACTTGATAACAGAATTTGATGCAAAAATTGGAATGAAAAAGATTGATATTCAAAGCCATCTCTTATAAACCGATATGTAAAGCCTCTTAACCACCTGGCCAACTATAAAATAGCCAAGAAAAAGAAGCAGCAAAAGTATGAAATATGAGAGAGGCAGAAGGGAGAATCCCATGATCTTCCCAATGGGTGTGAATGGAAGTGCAATTCCAATTGCAGAAGTCACAACGGTGGAGAAAATCACAGGCCAAGATGCAACCTCCTGCATGAAAGGGATTCTCTCTGTCCTGATCAAGTGGATGATGAGGGTCTGCAAGAGGAGACCTTCAATGAACCACGCTGAATGAAAAAACTTCTGGGTCACATCAGTGTAAGCCTTGTAATAAAACCAAAGAAGCATGAGTGTTGCCACATCACATAGAGTGCACACTGATCCATTCCACAATATGAACATGAACAAGCCTCTTTCTGAGGACTTGTGAGGTGTCTTAACATACTCTTCATCCATCTTGTCCCAGGCAATGGCAATTTGTCCCACACTGTAGATGAAATTCTGAGTAAGAAGCTGTCTAGAAGTTAAGGGCTCATACTTGAATAGCAGTGTTGCTATCAGGAGTGAAGTGACACTTCCCAAGTTGGCAACCACTGACATCTTAACATACTTCATTGTGTTACCAAATGTGAGTCTACCATGCTCCACTCCCGCAAGAAGCACGTTGAGGTCCTTCTCAAGTAGGATAATATCTGCCATGTCTTTTGCAATGGCTACTCCTGAGTCCACAGAAATGCTTACGTTGGCAGCATCTAAAGCCAGTGAATCATTCACTCCATCTCCTAAGAACCCAACAACACTGTTTCCAACTGTTTGCAATGATTGCACAACATGGAGTTTCTGGATTGGAGTGAGACGTGCTAGTACTGTTGCTCTTTTAACTGTCTCATGGAAAGAGTCTTGGTCAAGTAGATCTAGCTCTGGACCTGTTATTACATGAGTGGTGCTTATTCCAACTTCCCTGCATACCCTTGTTGTCAAGGAGAGGGAATCACCAGTTAAAACCTTTGCTTTCACTCCCTTCTCAGACAAACGCCACAGTGCTTGCTTTGCTGTGTCCTTAGGTGGGTCGAAAAACGTTATGAGGCCAAGGAACACCATGTCTTTTTCAATATCCTCGTCTTCTCTCTTGCTTCCGTTACTTGTTTCACAAGTTTGTGGCTGCAATATCACATGGAAACTGAAACAGTCACTGAGGTGCTCCATCTCTTATCCTTTCATATTAAATTTTTACATGACCCTTGTCATGCTGAAATTGTTTGTCACTCTCCATAAATCATTAAAAATATTGATAAGGTTCCACCTGTTTAATGCTCATGAAGAGAGATAGCCACAACTTTGTCATGTAAATATTCAACACGAGAGGACCATTCCCTACAAGAATGAGAAATTATTGTATTGTTGAGGACTACCACGTATCCACGGTCTTACTAAATTTTCATGCAGATGTAGATTGACCATGATCATAAATATGTGGTGGTCCTGAGCCATACTATAATATCTCCAATGAGAATAGTTTTGATAATATGTTTTTTTAGTGAACTTGTCCTATCTAAATGAGTAGAGAAATTTAAAGAAGGCACAAGAAATTATTCTAACTAATCTAGCTAAACTATCTTGATGCAAAATCAATGTCATTAGTATGAAAAGAAAGATTGAAAGATGAAAAAGCACACCATTTCCAGCTTCCTTATAGCTACCCCTATAATCCTTAACCCCTCGTTGCTAATATCTTCTGAGAGATTTAAAATACGCTGATAATCATCTGAAGTGAAGGGGGAAATTTCATCTTTATCGAAATTCTCAATAAATGAACAAACTTTCAATACTTCTAACAGTGCTCCTTTTGTTACCATGAACCTGCCAAAGAATTGTGAGTGTCTGTCTTCTGTTTCTAAGATGACAGATACTCTTCTTCTTATGAAGTCAAAAGGAATCTCGTCTATCTTCTTCCACGTAGATGGCTGAAACCTGAATCCGTTTGAATATACAAATGCCAGAATAGCATCATCCAGAGGATACTTCTGATCAGTCTTAAAGTAAGAGTTGAGGAAGGCATAGCGTAAAACTTTTTCTTGGGGTAAACCCCTGTAGTCAAGATGATTAACCATGATTGCATGATTCATTGTAAGCGTACCTGTCTTGTCAATACAGAGAATATCCCTGCAAAATTGTAAAATATAAGTACATAGAAAAAGAATTAGCAAGAAAGATGCAGATTTGGATTAAAACAATCCTTTTAGTCTTGTATCACTTGAAATATTTTTGAGCGTTATGATTTCATGCATTGCCAATGACCCTGTTGCACTACATATTTCCTTTCTTTGAACTTTGATGTGAATTTTTTTTTTCTTTTGGGGATAATGAGTGGGTTCAATGACTCTTATGCTAGAAGTTAGCAACACTTATACTCTGTTGCACTACATATTTATTAACTGTTTCTAATTCACTTCCTATATTTATGTCTTGATAACATGAATTTTTATTAAGATGAGTGATAAGTTCTGAGATTTCATCTTCAAACCATCAACAAATATATAAATCGCATCCTAGGATTTGAGCTCGTTGATGTGAAATTTCCAACAAAGTGATAGCTAACGCTGAGACACAATAGAAAGTTGAATTCATATTTTAAGATAGATGGGTTCAAATGTGTGCAACTGCATATGAATTTAGTGTCCAAGTCAATCAATTGACTTTTAATGTGAATTTATACTTACATTGATCCCATCTCCCGTATAGATGTTAAACTCTTTACTATACACCTGTCTTTAGCCATAGCAAGTGCTCCTTTTGCAAGGCATGTGTTAACGATTAGGGGAAGCATCTGAGGATTAAGGACACAGGCAACAGAGATGGCAAAAAGAAGGCTTCGGGACAAATCAAGAGATGTAGTGTAATTTACCACAAACATGATGGTAACAACTACAAGCATAACAGAAAGAAGCAAGTAAAATATCCATCTGAGACCCTTTTCAAATTCATCTGGTGGCTTCTTCTTCCCAACTTTTGAAAACATGGTGCTCATGTAAGTATTGGATCCAGTTGAAATCACTAGGCCTGTTCCATTACCTGATACCACGTTTGTGCCCTGTGATGTTAATAACTAATCATTTCTCAGCAAAATTCTCCATTCAATCAGACAATTTCGGATCGGGAATTTAATATTTTTGAGGGCTAAAATATTTTATAGATATAGGAAATTACAAAATTGTAAAATAGGTAATTAATGATTCCAGACACGGATTTGGATCCTCATGAGTTGAGAACATCAATAAAATTAGTATATTACTGTGAATTTTGAGTTTCTTAATGCAAAAGACGAGACATAAATTACTTTATATATATCAGAAAAATAAGATAACCTGATTATGGCTGTTTAAGGTCGAGTAAAAATTATCTTTGTCAAATAAGAGAAATAAACTTGCTACAGTTTGGTGAGGAATTTGAGTTGGAAAAGAATGGAACTTCAGCTAAAGGGGCATTGTTTAGACCCTTAATTCAAAATTGGTATGGTGCTCCTTGTTTCATCTATCATCGATGCAATTTAGTAGTTTACACACACAAAGATTCACTTATATAGTTCATGCCTCTTCGCTGGTTATTAGAGACTGATTCCCTTTAGCCTATTAGTAAAGAAGCAAGATGCAATATGTAGACATCTGAAACGGAAAAGAGTCTCTTTAGCCTCAAGCAGATTATTGTCTTTTAGTATTACTTTAGTCTCATCTTTAAACTTTTGACTAACTATTGTTTCTACAGTTTCTGTCTTGCAGAAGCATCCC